CATCGCGGAAAAGCCTGGTCATCACGTTAATTACCAATGTAACCATTTCTACTCATCGTGCTTTCACAGATGTCACAGACGTTAGAACAGCGGAGTTAATAAGATAAAAAGTCGTTAATGTTTTGTCGAAGGAGAGAAGGACGTTTTGTTTATAGCTGTTCTAGTGGGCTGGTGCGTCCGAGAGTACAACACAGCAATTGTTTTATTGAGGTTTTCGGTTCCCTCGTACTTCGCAGTGTGTATAGAATACCAGCTATTACACCACCACTGGAACAATTATTGGATAACACGACTTTGCGTGCTTTCGAATATATTTATTTTCGAGCACGAACGACCAACGGCTGGTTTAGTATCATAATATTTAATCGCACAAACTGAATTCGGAAACGGACACGCGACCGCCAATATTTATATTAATATTACGAATAGGTACTTATCATATCATTTGATATACCTACTATATAATAATAAAATAGTATATATCGAAGAGATGGGTGGACTAGCGTCATCACTAGCTCGAGTTCCGTTCAAACAATCTCGAAGGGCTATAAATATAAATATTTTATAGCTGATAACCGCACGGCGTCATAATAAATAATAATACGTTTTTATGGTTTATTGTTCTCGTTTTTAGATACATTTAATAACGGTTTGATAATAAAATACATTTCGACGTTTCGATTTCCTACCGTTGGTATTTTTAATATTAATGAATAGATCGAGTATTATATTACGAATTTATGATCGACTTACTTCCTATTCCTATATATTTATGGACTGCGTGTATATGTGTACCTACCTATCGCGTGGGTGAATCGGAAAACCTTATAAGATCTTAAGAATTATTTTCAAATAAAAATAATAACTTCATCATAAATAAAGCATCAAAGAATTCAAATTAAGAAAAGTATAATATCTTAATAATTAATACAACGTTATTTGGTCAGAAGATACAGAAATATTATTATATTTTAAGATGTGAAATAATAATAGTTTTCATAGAACGTCCGTTTTATAGACGTGGGCCACGGATAATAAGTTTCTATATAAATTCCACTAACCAGTATGCGTCTCGGCAATAAAGTAAAATAGAATATTTTCCACCAAAAAAGTCTATAACTAATTATATTACTGTCCCGTCAACAGGTTTTCAGTTTCATTTTTTGGTACGAACGAGATGGTCTTAGAATATAAGGAGTGTTATGGGTAAAAATAAATAAATATTTGATACAAGGTGAAAGTCGTGTATGATAAATTATAATTGACATCCTATTCAATTGCAAAATTAATAAAGTATAACATTATAGATCGGGGCCATTCTTTGGACTGCATTCAAGATGGAATTTTATCAAACCAGCACACGACTACGTGGGCGTGGGATTGGGATAAATAATTGCGGAAAGCAGACTTTGACCTGAAACGATTGACCGCTTTGCACGGACACACTAATGGAAAAATAATATTGGAAATATATTTTGATTGCTGTCGATAAACCATAGGCACTAAGTAAGGCACACGACGGCAATATTTTTTGCGTAGTGGGTACTGCGATAAAAAAAAAAACCGTTCTGAAGTAATTATTTACACCACGTGCTGCAGCGTTGTAAAAATATATTTAAAACACAATATAATAATATAATATTATTTGCATTACAATACAACAAATATCGATTTATTAGAACTCATAGTTTGCAGTCAGTGTTGAGAATAGATAACTAAAAAATTATCTAGATAAGATAAGATAAGATAAATATAATTTTTCTAAATAAATTTCTAGTTAAATATCATTTTTTTACACTTATTTTTATTGTTTTTTTTAGTATTTTTGTAATATTAGATTTATATCAATATAATGACATAATATTTATAATAACAACGGATTGAGCCTTTGAAATACAATTCTACGAAGTTAATTTTAATTTATTTTTAAAATGGATGGGGAAATAAACATAATATACCTAATTAATTTTAATATGCTCATTATGGCTAGTAGAGAACAATGTATAGTGCAAGCCCGCATGCAAATTCTCGTACTATCGTAATACCGTCGTTGACAATAATAACAAGAAATATATTCTTCTAATTTATAAATAATTTATACTATGTTAGAATTTTAGTAAAATTGGTTTTATAATTTTGTAGTGGCACTATAATATTTATATAGGTAAGCCCATTTTTTATCTGAGCTAAACATTAGATAAATCGTAACATAATTATCTAGATACTTTAAAAGATAATTTATTTCAAAAAACCTGATCTAGATGATTCCCAACACTGTTTGCAGTATGACCCAAACAATGCAAAACTATCTAGTGCTTTTGAATACTACCTATATCCCTATTATAACGGTACAAAAAATTATTTGTGAACTCTTAATATCGAAATATATATATACCTAACCTACATGCCTATAATAATATCGCAACGACATGGATGAGCGATGTGAAATTCGTCTATACATGTTTGTTATGCATAAAAATAAAATATGTAGATAAGTCATCTAAGACAACCAATCAGTTAGCCTTAAGCGAATGTAATACCTAGATACTCTCAAACCTATATTTAGTGTAAAAAAAATGAAAAACTTTGCTCTCCGATTTGACTTCAAAATAATGTTATATTACTTGTATTAACACATAAAACATTCGATGATAATTTATCAGGCACATAACGGATTTCAATGAATTATTATCGTTATCGTGTTATCATCGGTGTCAGGGTTGTCGTAATTGAAATTGATAGTATTTATTAGCCGGAACTTACGGTAGACGATGATAGTAATGATTGCGGACTCGATGAAAGTTTGGCGTTCATTAAATACGGAGGACTTAAAGTAATCCCTAAGTAGTAAATCCAAAGTTTTAAAATATGAAATTGAAGTATATAAGCACTAAGACACTGTATTCGAATTCATAATATAATAACTTTCTACCTCGAATCTCGATAATATATATATGGAATATAAAATACAATTTTTTTTTTTTTTCAATGAGAGAATGTAAATGACAAAGAAATGTTGTTTAAACAAAAGAATAGTATCTACAGCATAATTTAATTTCAAGTAAAAGGTTGTAAATATATATAGATTATACATAAAAACAGATGTCTATATAATTTCCCGTTGGTACAGTTGGACGTTATTTTTCTATGAAATGCACATCACGTTCGACATAATAATAACTGTCAATAAAATGTGTCATGCTCGTCGATACGGATTTGCTATGTTTCATTTATAATAATATACTTAATGTATTTGCATATTATGTAATTTATTTATTTTTATATTTTTGACAGTATTTTTCAAATGTTTAGTTTTGGTCCTTTATAAAGAAATGTATTTTATAAAAAATGTATTATTCACTACCTATACAGAAAGTAAGTTATATTTAATGATTTTGTAATTGAAAATTGTTTGGATGTTTAATAATAATTGTTAACTAAAGATTTGATTTATGTTCATGTATTATTATGAGTTTTGTCATAGTATATTTATATTTAGAAAGAGTTAAAATCGTAATTTTACTTACATGAATTATCATAGACAATTAGACATTATGTTGTATTTATTTTAATATTATAATAATGCTGTCAATTTTTTCAAAATGTTTAAGGTATTGAACAAATATTATTGTAAAAATAAAATTAATGTTATAAAACGTCTTAATTTGCATCTTCAATATGTAATGAAAGGAATTTAATAAATATTTTTAAAATTGGTTAAAGATATAATTAACAAATTAATTCAAAATTTTAAAAACGGGTTTATATTATATACTATTAAAATAATGATATTACATGTAGGAGAACGAAATGCAATTATTTATCTTAAGGCCTTTAATAAAGATTTATTTTTAGTTTTTCGGAAATAATTATCTTTGAATCATGATAAAAAAAAACTTTCTTAATAAATTAAAATAATATTTACGAAAGGCAATTCAATTTAAACTCGTTAAATATTCTATACAAAGCTACATTTGTTTATTTATATATTAGAAAAAATTATTATTTAAAAATATGATATTTGAAAAAATTATAAATACATTCTCTCTATTTTTTCAGGGTAACATGCATAAGTACTATAGCAATAGCTTGGAAAGGTATAACAAAAATAAAATTTGAATGAGCAATCACTATTTATAATTATTATATTTTACTTGAAGCCCTTGGTTATGATTATAGGACTTTTGTAAAGTACAATAAAACAATTTATCTGATATTTTCATTTAAAATAATATTTAAATTAATTATTATTTGTAAATTTATATTTAGTTTGTTGGTTTAGTTGTTATAACATAACTGTCATTCAATGCTTAAGATGATGATTCAAATATAGGTATAACATTTTAAACTGCATCTGTACGATGAATTTAAAAAAACGGAAATTAAACCAGTATTAATTATTGAAATATTATTTTTAGACCTTTATGATAATTAAATACTATGCAATGAGGGTCATGTTACAACTTAAAAGCCTGTAATAGATAACTTAGTAAGGGTATTTTACTCAACAAAAGTGTTGTATAGTGTAAACAGATGAATTATATTAAAAACAAACATGTGGGTATGTAAATTGAATGAACACATTTTATTTTACGTATTATTTTAAATGTTAATAGGAACCTACGTTTATATTTAAAAATTTAAAACTGTTATAAATGCTTTAACGGTAGTTATATTGATAACATTTTTGAATTCTTGAGGACACGATAATACTCCTAAAGGTATTTAATAACGTTTATAAGGCATTCGTTAAATAAAAGAGTGAACTATGTCAAGGAAATAATATGATGCACAATATGAAAAGACACTAATATTAAATAATAATGTAATGTCTAAAGAGTTTTTGGAGTTTTTCCCACTTACTCGTTGCATATTTCTAAATTATTATCTTCACTTGACTCGAAGAAAAAATAATTTCAAAAAAATAATTATATAACGTGCAAGGTAAAATAATGATAAACATTTATAAGAATATTATTTTATTAAACGTAGGTACATACCATCGACTCTAAGGTATGTTTTCTTGGTAGTCGGTGGGTGTGTTGCCACTTGACACTCGTACACCCCATCATCCCTGTCTGTTATGTAGACGATTTGAAGTCTCCAGTTATTAGGATATCTGAAGCTCAACGATATCCTTTGGTCGGAGCTATGCACCTGACGGCCCACGGTCAGCAACTGGATGTCATCTGATTTTCGATGAACCCATGTCACCTGTTACGAACGAGTTATCAATAAAATGAAAATTTTTAGGCACGAAGGACACATGTATTTATTTTTATTCAGAGAAAAACAACACAAACTGTCGTAGAAACTAAGTGCGAAATTTAGCAACTATTGAGAATTTAATTAACTTACCCTAATACAAACATTTAGGATTTTGGTATAATGTAATATATATGAAATTAACATAATATAGCTTAATACATCGAATAAATGTATTATTAATAATATCAATTAATTCAATAGATATATTATGTAGACTGTAGATATTATTCGTTATTTTAAAGGTTAAATGTTATGAGACCAAAGTAAATAACCTCTTTGAGATGCTTAAAAATAAAAATAAATAAAAGTTGGTAACCGATCTGCTCTATACCTACAGTAGGTGTCAAGGTACTTTGTCATCGAGTAAGTCACTGTTATGTGTGTGTTGAATTTGAATTTATATTTCATAATTCATTGAATATGATAAACTATTCTGAGCGAAGACAGCCTATAGTATAAATATATTTTATGATATATTTGTACTACTACTATTATTACATATTTAGTAACACGGTAGGTTGAATTAATTTTCGCCAAATACTGTTTGTATAAAATATAATAATATAATATGTTAAAAGTTTCAAGTACCCATGAATAATATTTAAGTTAAAGTACTAACTAGATCCAATTCACAACCAGGAACCACTCTCAAAGTTGACAATTTAATTTTTTTTTTACTAGAAAAATTGTCTTTGGACGCACAAAATAAAAAATCAATACACTCATCGCTCCACTCAGAATCTTTATATTACTCTTTAGGAGAAAACTGTTTTAATCTAGTGTAACCAATTATTTGTATTACGTTAATACGGGCTTGTACTTACACCATTTTTTTATTTGGAAAATGTTTATGTGATAAAACACACGAAATATATCGATGGCGTAGCGCACAAGTGTGATAAGTGACATTTTCGTAATTGTTCAGGAGAACGATTTTTAAGTTTGAGATGTTATAACAAATTCAAAAATGTAACAAACTGTACGACATCTATCGGAGTAAATAATGAACTATTCGCTTACAACGTTTGGGCATAATGTGCAGAATTGTATGATTAAATTGATTATGCACTTAACTCATTTTTCAAAAAAATGTCACTTATCACACTTGTGCGCTACGCCATCGATATACTGATATTTAATTATTTTATAATTATTAAATGTGAAGTATAATTATATAGGTATCCATTACATTTTATAAATATGAAAAGTTAGTTCAATCGTCTTTCAAGGATAAGATTTGACGTAAATATAACTGTAAGTAATATATTATAATAGTATACTTTATTGGGCTTATCTATTTTATTTTTAAAATAATATTATGTTTTGTTTTATTCTTAGTGGTTTATATTATTTTTTATTTTTTTGGGAAGTGACATATTTATCACTAGATGTATCAAACACATACATAAGAAATAATTAACAATCTCCAAAATACGAATCGAATCTATATTGAGTCATTATCTTTATTATTTATAATAATATATTATCATTAGTTTTTTTACGAATGCATTTTATTCAATAAGAAAGCAATGTGATATAAAAAACAAAACCTACCTACACACTGGTGTACCGAAATTGCCTATACATCGCGCCGACCAAAAGATATACATTTTATTATAAACAATAATATTATTATGTACCTATTTGAAATGTCAAAAAAAAAAAAAAAATGATTCAATTGGTGTGGAATATTATAAATAATAAAAAAAAATTTCGGTAGTGTGTGTAACTAAATGCACTGCTAGCTTACACCATTGGAAGTGTCATTAAATGTCATTGTGATAGAAGTTTGAATGACTGTTATATCGACAATATATATATATATATATATATATATATATTATATCCAAATAAAATGGTCTACCTGCATAGTGTAAATGACAATATAAATCTTTTGTTTTCTGAAAGTTGTTTATTAAATTAACTAGCTGAATTGACATACTTACTACCCTTTGTAATAATATATGTATAAAAATGATAATCACTTAAACTGCACTACTTCCAACAACATAATAATTAATTGTATTGGACTACAAATATACCTACCACTAATTTATATTTTTTGTTTACCTCACTCTCTCAGTTTTTATTTGTATTGTCAATTACAACTTGGCCCTTACTTTTAATAAACATTTTAGTGGAAATCGATTTAGTCTCTCGCATACATATAAATATATAGATGTACAGAAAGTGAGTTTTCACCAGTAATTTCTCATTACGCAGTTTTCCATTACACAGTTTTTGATTTTTTTTTTTTTAATATGATATACGATTATTCTAAAATTTTGTTATAATTTTTTAAAATATTAAATCATTGAAAAAATCTGGACACAGAATACAGAAAAGCACTTTTACCTGCAGTGCTCTGAAGTATGTGGTGGTATATTGTATACCAAATACAATACTTGAAAACAATATTACTTGTTTACAATAGAAAAGTGGTAATGAATGAACCTCGAGTATTAGCTATGATGTTTTTGAGTTTTAATTTACTCATAAATTTAATTACCGAAGGAGGATTTGCAAATTTATACATTACGGTTTCTGAGAAATCGTGTGTTAAAATGATTAAGGGGTCTTCAAACTCTTAGTAACGGATTTTATTGAAAATAATAATATTTTTATTTACACAGCCGTCGTAAAATCGATGTTATAATAATAATAATAAGTTATAGACCAATTATATTTTAATAATAATTGGTAGACACGGAAATAGATCATAAATGGTTATTTTATGGTCCTTGTTATATATTTCAACAGTATCGAATAATTTCGAGACAATATAAATTCACTGTTAAATTTTGCATATTGTTTCGCTTGAAATATTATATTATATAATTTCGGGTTGTGCATGGTGTGAAATCAATAACCTTTAATAACGCAGAGGAGCATAATTATAAAGGTCGTAAATTAAAGCTGCTCGTCTGTAAGGTCGGTCTGTATTTTTGTAACGCCAAAATCTATGTATTACCGTTGACGTTTTAAATATGGGTTGGTATAAATTACACGGCAAACGGATGTTCGAATAGTTTCGAATACATTTTATTAAAAACGTTCACAGATGGTGCTGTTTATGAGAATAATGACATAATACTATAATATAGCAATCGTGTAAATGGTTTCGGAATTTGAGGGTCATCTGACGTCGGATAAAAATGTTTAATTCAACGTGAAAAAAAATGATATTACATTGTTTTTGATAAAAGTTTGAATACAACGTCATAATAGCTTTAGAATAATAGAAGTATAGCAACATAAAATAAACTACACACAAAGTTGAAGCGACACATAATAATATATAAGGTACATCTTTTGGAAACTATATGGCCGCGGCTGCCATGGAAAATATCATATTATTTACGCGTGAAATATTCTATACACATTCGATTAACCCTTTCCGCCCTTTCCGTTAAATTTGTCGGAACATTTTGCTGACGGGGAAACAGCGTCCGATAAATTCACAATGAATTTGTCCACGGACGGATCGTCTGACAAAATCTATTTCACAGGCGGTGAGTCGAAGAGTTTATGGATGTGATAAATATGTAACACCATAATATCTATTACATTGTGTTAGATCGGCGGACGATTATCAACGGCTCACAAGGTGGATTTATGGTGTACGTAATAAGCATTTTACAACATTTTACAAGCTTTGACAGCATTTTCATGGCGTGGCGAGGTGAAATGTGTAGAGGGGTATGAGGCGTGACACCGTGTTTATGGATGAATTTCTCAAATCTGTTCGGTGGAGTCGGTCGTAATAATAATAGTATAAGAGTTTATAACAATATTATCGGCTGTGGTCGGAGGTCACGGTGCAGGCGAAGTCGTCTAGTCGATCGTGGCTGAGGCGGAGTGCCGAAATCAGTGATGAGTGGATACTACGCGGGGAAAGATTGATTTTGGCGTCGCTGCGATGGTTCTCGACAACGCACCTCACCGATGACCTTCCCTACACCCACAAACACACACCCACCATCCACGAATTTGGCAATGATTAGTGCAGCGTAGTGTTGTACGTGGGTGTGATTATGGTAGAGAGCTGACCACGACAAATGCTCGTCGCAATATAATAACATGTACCTATATACAGGGTGACTTCCATATACTGACGCCCAGCGCATTCATAGCTATCGGTTTTTGACGTATTCAAATAATATTTTCCCCGCTTGTACCTACTTGAAAACGTCGAGTAAGCAAAAACACGATATTTGAAATTATGTACATTTGGAAATCGCAAAATTTGACTCTGAAAACGAGCGTGTCATTCTCGCACTGTATAATATATGATATATATAATACATAAATGAAATACAATGCTGTTGCAGCGGCGGCGGCACACGCTGAGCTGTCGGATTGATGAATGGCGCCGCCTCGTCAAAACGCCGCCGCCGCCGGAGGGGTGGCACACGCACACACTAGTGACTTCGCAGGATGTGGGAGGGGGGGTGCTGTAAAGGGTTCGCGAAGAGGGGAGGTGGCACCGTTCGCTGATGAATTGATGGCATTTTCGAAAAATAATCCACGCGTCGCATACACGTATATACTCATCTGCACGCCCCAGTCAGCAAATGATGTATGCGCGAATCGGCCATAAATCGCGGCCGACCGACCGACCCGGCTCACCAATTTTCCAGATTTCGGCCGTTTTTACGGGTAACGCCCCCCCCTACCACATCCCGTTACGCCAAGTGAATGACGACTACGAGTGCGCAGGGAGGACGGCACCCATTGGACGGGGTGAGGGACACGGCGCGGTGGTGGCAATCGGTGGCAGAAAAAAAAAAATAACAGTGCGCTACAAATAATGTGGGCAAGCACAAGCGTCGTGTTGTACGCGTAAAAGAGAAAAGGATGACTCGTATAATTAAAATAGCAAAAAAAAAAAAAAATAATATCATCAAAAAAAAAACAGTGAAAAAGAAACCACCACTATACGTTAA